AGATGTTGGTTAAAGACTTACAGGGGTTACACTACAGTCAAGGAGTTCTTCTAAAATACATAGATGGTTTACTGATAGCCAGTTTGGACTGGGAACTTTGCATAAATAACACCATAATGGTTCTTAACCACCTTGCATGATGTGGATATAAGGTGTCCCCTAAAAAGGCCCAAATATACAAATTTCAGGTAACCTATTTGGGTTTCCAGTTACAGAAAGGAACCTGAAACTTGATGGCCAATAGGAAATGAGCCATACCTAACAGAGACAACTCCAAGGATTTCTGGAAATTGCTGAGTTTTGCTGCATTTAGATTCCAAATTTTAGACTTACTGCAAAACTGCTCTATGAGGCCCTAAAAGGCACAAATACTGAGCCTCTGGTTTGGACCAGTGAATGCTAGAAAGTATACGAAAATCCCAAAGACAAATTACTCATGACACCAGCCTTAGGCCTCCCAGACTTAAAAAAAAGAATTCAGGTTGTATATATATGAAAAACAAGAAAGTGTTAATACGATTGCTTGGAGAAATTCTTAGACCTGTGGCTTACTTATCAAAGTAATTGGACAGTACAGCTAAAGGTGGGCCTCCCTGCCTATGGGCAGTGGCAGCAAGTCATGATTCATTACAAGAAGCTCAAAATTTTACTTGGGACCAACCCATAACACTGTTCATACCCCACTAAGTCCTGGTACTGCTGGAACAAAAAGGAGGACATTGGCTTTCTGTCAGGTGGATGGGACAATATCAGGCCATCCTCCCAGGTGATCTATATGTCAGAATTCAAACCAGCAATTCCTTAAATCTGTTTACATTACTGCTGTTCCCGCAAAAACACCAATGACCCCAAATTGTCTTGAAGTCTTAGAAACCGTATATAGTTTCAAGTCAGCTTGATCTTTCAGATCAATCATTTAAAAAGCTTACTGGACTTAAAATAGACTTGCCATATGACCCAGCAATCCCACTGCTGGGCACATATCCAGATGGATCCTTAATTCAAAAAGACACCTTCACCCCAGTGTTTATAGCAGCACAATTTACAATAGCTAAGATATGGAAACAACATAAACGTCCATCAAAAAATGACTGGATAAAGAAGATGTGGCCTATTTATACAATGGAATACTACTCAGCCGTAAAAATGACAACATAACACCATTTGCAGTAACATGGATGGCCCTGGAGAATATCATTCTAAGTGAAGTAAGCCAGAAAGAGAAAGAAAAATACCATATATCACTCATATGTGGAATGTTAAAACAAAAAAAAGAGAACCCATATATAAAATAGAAACAAACTCACAGACATAGAATACAGATTTGTGGTTGCCAGGGGGATGGGGGGGTGGGGAGGGATAAAACTGGGAGCTGGAGATTTGCAGATACTGACCGCTATATATAAAATAGATAAACAAGTATATACTGTATAGTACTGGGAAAAATATTCAATATCTTATACTAGCTTATGGTGAAAAAGAATATGAAAATGAACATATGTATGTTCATGTATGACTGAAGCATTGTGCTGAACACCAGAAATTTACACAACATTGTAACCTGACTATATCTCAATAAAAATAAATAAATAAATATAATGAAAATGAAAAGCTTTCTGAGCCTTGTTCACTGATGGCAGCAGTTTCATAAAAGATGGACAGGTGAGCTGGCTACATTGTTACTGCAGAATACCTAGTCACTGAGGCAGCAGCTCTTTCCCCCGAACTTCTACCCAGAAGGTGGACCTAATTAACAGCCCAGACACAAGCTTTCCAGCTTTCGAAGGGGAAAAAGGCAAATATTTACACTGACTCTAATTATGCCTTCTTGGTGTTGCATGCTTATGGAGCAATTTGAAAAGAAAGAGGACTGTTAACTTCCAACGACAAAGAAGTAAAACATACTCCAGAGATTTCGGCTCTAGTCAGTGCAGTGGCTGAACCAAAGGCCATGGCCATCATGCAGCGCCCAGGACACCAGAAATTAATACCCTTTGCAGGTCAAGGAAAGCAGATGGCTGACAGGGCCACTAAGCAAGCCACTTTAGAAAATCCCTTTGTTGGAGCCCCAGTACCCCAATTGGAACTAACACAATATGAACCCCATTATAATCTAGAGGATAATCAAAGAGCAATGGACTGGGGGTTAATACTAAAGATCAAACTGGAAAATGGAAAATGAGCTAATCTTATTGCCTGCTGCCCTCGTGTGGCCAATGAAACACCT